AGACCAAACAACTCTAACAATGGACACAGAAGCCCAAACCGACAGCTGCTTTATTCCAAAAAGATGCAAGATCTCCTACAAGGTGATGATGGGATTTTGCCTGAATATGAAGGGCTGTCATCAGTGTGCTGGACCTCCAGCCCAGAAACAAACATCATAATTTAGCTCTCTGCTTAATTTCAACTCCAGGACAATTGTCTGGCTAAGGATTACTCTAGTCTATGCTTAAAACAAAAAGGTCAACACCTAAGAGAACTATGGTCCTTAAGCTATCACACCCATCGGATCACAAGTACAGCAGCATCCTATAGGAGCTTGTCTGGATCGTGGAATTCCAAGCCTACCCAGTCCTGGAATCTGAAATCACATTTTAACAAAATTTTCAGATAATTCTTTAAAATCTGAGAAATGTTTGGCCGGGCTAAAACTTTTTAGCAATACTAACATACATATAGGCCCCACTATGGGCCGATTTAATCGATCCTTCTGGGAGCGGGGCCTGGCATCTGTACGTTTCAGGGCCTGACAGCTTGTTCCAGTGTACAGCCAGAAGAGAGAGCCAGCCACTCTTTGACGGAAGCGAAACTCAGAATCAAAGCGGAAAGCCCTAGGTACTGTGCATGACACTAAGTTCCACCCCCTAAACAGCAATCAGGCATTCGCCTAGTAACAAGGGATTCCTAAAATATTTGCCCTTTTCCAAGCAGAGGCAACATCAGCCTCTTGAATGGCTCCTCATTGTCCATGCCTCGTAAAAATATGCCGGGTCTCCACTGCCTGGGGCTCAAGAATAGTGCTCCCATCCCTTTGTTAACAGAGGTCTAGCCCCGGGCCCGCCAGACATGGGAAATGGCCCCCTTTGAGGCTGCCTCTTTTTTTGCTTTCGCCGCCCCTGGTATTTGTGATTCTGGACAAGGCATATGGCTTCTTACCATGTTATTTTCCTCATTTGCAGAGGGAAAACACAGTGTCCATTGATTCCTTTGGTTAAGCTGACTGGTGTCCCTGGCTCATGTCCAGTGACTATTTCTCTGCAGCAATCCTCAGCTGGGGTTGAGCCAGGAAGGGGATGGCTGCTCACTTGGAGCACAAGCTCCGAGTGCTCTCTGTCCTGTGAGCTCTTCAAGTGCCAGCTTGTTCCACTGATTCTCCTCAACAGGGGCAGGTCCAGCAGAAAGCCTTGGAAGTGGTTTGGGAACAGAAATACTACTGAGCTCTGTTGGGGAAATATTATTTTAAGGTGTGTTACTTTTGTTTATGTTGCATTTGTTGAACTCTGTGAAGCTGTGTTCCTGTGCCTGTCTAAAACACCTGATGATCTAATAAAGAGCTGAATGGCCAATGGCAAGGCAGGAGAAGGGATAGGAGAAAAAAATTAATAGAGAAATCTGGGAGAGGGGAGATCTAGTAGCCAGAGAAGGAGGGGCCAGCCACACAGCTACTCAGCAAGCCACGGAGTAGGAAATAATAAAAGGTATACAGAAACAGAGAAAGGAAAAAGCCCAAAGGCAAAAGGTAGAAGGGATAAAGTTAAGAAAAGCTGGCAAGAAACAAGCCAAGCTAAGGCTGGGCATTTGTAAGGAAGAATAAGCCTCTGTGTGGATTTATTTGGAAGCGGGGTGGTGCTTCCTAAAGAGTAAAGAGCAAAGAGCTAAGGGCCAAACAAACAAAAACAGGGCTCCCCTGAAATGTGTGTGTTCAATGCAAGTCCAGGTTCCAGCAGAGCCAGACTTCAGGGATATAAGCCAGTTTTCAGGGAACCCTCCTCCACATGACCAGGATAAGCTCTCTATAACTACACAGCAACACGCTACCTGTGTCTACAGTTGTCGATGATGTCTGTATTTCATTTGAACATCACCATATCGCACATCACTGTGGTAGTTCTTCATGACCTATGTCTGCCCGTTACTGTTCCCATTGCCACTGGTACGAGCGTTTCATGTGCACACTACTGTTAGATCTTCACCACCATTTGGGGAGACAGTCGATATGATTATGCTCATTGCACAGAGGCAAAACCAAGGTTTAAATAATAAGTCACTTGGTCCAGTTTCCTTTCAGGGAAAGTGGCAGAGGCTAGATACTATCCAGATCTATGCTATTGCAATGTATGTAGCTCCAAACAATGGCCCAATCCCTCATCTCTGGCCTCTCAGGGACAGTGTATTCTGAATTAGGTCTTCCTATACTTGTTTGGGAACTGGCCATAGAGAGTATATGTCAGGATCAAAATTATTCAGGACCAATGACTAAGACTGGAAAATAAACTTATATTCCATTTTCAAAAAATACCAAAATAAGCTGAATATGAAATATTTTTTTAAGTAAAACAGAAACACTAGGAAAAAATATAGTTGGATAGTTGGAAAATCCTGAAGTAGAGGACTACATATAATAACATCAAAAGCAGCAGCCATAAATTAAAACACTAAGAATCTTGACTGCACCAAATGTTAAAAACATCAATTTAAACGTAAAAGCAGTCAGCAGACAGAGGTGGAGCACAATGGCAGAGCACTTGCCTAGCACGTGCCAGGTACTGGGTTCAGTCTCCAGTATGGGGTGGGTGGGCAATTGATAAGTGGCAGAAATTGTGCAGTGTAGGGGGAAAAAAAAACAGATTGAGTACATAAAATGTCCTTACAAGCCAGTACGAAAAAAAAGATGAATATTTAAAAGTAAAGTAGACTAATATTTGTAACCGATGAGGATAAAACTCAGGCACCAGACTTTTGCATTCTCTGCAGGTGGGAGTGTAAGTTGACATAACCTTTCCAAAGGTTGATTTGATAAGATGTAGCAAAACTTTTGAAAAAATGCAGAACAGTTGACCCAGCCATTTTGAGGAATACATCTTAAGGAAATAATTAAGGACCTGCATGGTGGCACAGCAGGACGTTGACCCCGAAATGTGGTGGACAGAGGTTTTAAAAATTAAAGTGTCACCATCCTAAAAACCCAGTAAAAGAATGGCTAAAAATATCACACTACATCCTGGCAACAGAAGGACCGCTTAATCATTAAGGAGGTAGCACTTCCATTGAACCGTAATCATTGAAAGGATGCTCCTGTGGAAAGATGTTCTCAGTGCGTTGTTTAGAAAAAGGAAAAAACCAGTTATCCTACAAAATAGCTGTGCTTGTACCACGATGTACAAGGAAGACTCGTCTCTAGGTAATAGCTATGTTTACTTTCTTTTGTGTGTTTGTGTTTTTTCATTAATTCTGGGATAGAGATGTACCGTTTTTTGTAATAAACAAAATACCATCGAAATCATCAGCATCACGGAGGCCTAGTCCTGCTTCTGAGGGGCCTAGAATAGGATGGTGGGGGTTGGTTAGTCATGACCTTGACCTAGCAGCTTTCAAGGGACACTGGTCTTGTGGTGGGCATCCACAGGCCCTAAGAAGATGTACTCTTTCCAGCAATCAATCCATCCTTAACTCTTCCCTGTCTCCACTCTATAGGAACTCTGCGTATGGAATCCAGACAAGTGCATCCCCCGGTAAAGGGTATCCAGAAAATTGGAGGCACAAATAAAGGCAACCTGTGCTGAGAAGCCCCGAGGAGCAGGAAAAGCCCCTTTTCCTCCAGGCCCCACGGTAGAGTATATTCTAGAGATAGGTTCTCTCTTCTTTTAATCTGCTTTAAAAACACCCCCTTGAAGTCTCCTGTCCTGAGCTAAGCTTCATCAGTGATTCATGGTGGTCACCTTTCTCTGCAAATGTTGATGTCTGCATCCACATCTGCTGCTACCTGTGAACTCACCCCTCTACCCCATCTCACCCCACCTCACCTCACCCCACCCCATCCCATCTCATCACACACACACACACACACACACACACACACACACACACACACACACACACACGCCAGGGCCTGGGCCGACCCCTAGGAGGCACCAAAGCAGGTAACGGAGGTGTGTGCGAGGGGGCAACACCGAGGTCTGCAGGATCCCGCAGGGCTCCACGAGTTTCTGTAAACTCATTTGCAATTAACGACTCTCTGGCAGGGGCCTGGGTTGCAGCCCCCAGAAATCCGGCTGTGTAACGCACCGGGACCGCGGGTTCTCCGACATCCGGCGGAGACCTGCCCCATTCCCGACCCCCACCCCAGAGCATCGGGTCTCGTCTAGATCAAACGCCCTTCCGGAGGGAGTCCCTGACTCCGGGGGCTCCTGCGCTTCTTTCTCTGCAGCCCCCGCATCTCTTCTTGGCCAGCCTGAAGTCGGTCCTCGGATCCCACCGCCTCCGAGAGGCTGGGGTCCCGCACCGGAGCCCCCTGAGCCCTGGCGTTTTCGGGGACCGGGTCCGGCGGGGCGGGGCCTGAGGCTGTGGCCGGCGGCCTGAGTTTTCCACGGCCCACGCCGCAGGCGGGAGGTGCACCGAGCCCAGGGTCGCCGCCGCACACCGCAGGACCGCCTGGCACTGGATGGGGAGGAGGCAGGGGCCCCGCCGCCATTAGGGGGGTGGGTGTGCAGCCAGAGGAGCCAGGCAAACTGACTCCGGACTCGGGGAACGGAGGGGAAGGTCCTGCGATCAAACCACCCCAGCTGCCGAGCCCACGGAAGGCCGGAACCCATTCACGCAAAGACGAGCTTTTAGAAAGAAAAATTGAAATAGTAGTAGCAGCCAGAGCGGCAGGGAAGGGGGGCGGGGGCTTGTCCGTAAATCAGGCTTTCGCGCGGGGACTCAGATTTTTGCAATAAGCACTTAATTAAAAATAAAATAGATTGAAGCAGTTGGCAAGTCGCGTTCCTGGGAAGGTAAAAAAAAAAAAAAATACAGTGGACTGACTCCCCCCACACCCCAGATGCTCCACCTGCCTGCTGTAATTACAGGGCTTCAGAGAGGAGGGAAAAAACACGACACAGAGAAATCTGCTTGCATATTTTTTTCCTCTATTGTGCTCGGCTCATTTGAATTATAATGTGTTGCAGGCCAGAGTAGAAAATTTTGTGCCTTGAATAATGAATCCCCCTGGAGCCCCCGTACCTGTGTACTTCTTTTTAGTGTCCACTGAGAATAACGTGTTCGACATTCAAGTGACAGCACAGGAAAGGATTTCAAAGCCCCGGAGCCCCAGCACGCTGTACACCCCGACGGCTCTTCTGCCTGCCCCCTCTTTGCCTTCCAAATGCCGCAAGCTCTTTCTTTACTTAGAATGGGCTCTTCCTTTACCCCAAGCCTGGCTGTACCACAGAAATACGGCCAAGACAAGCGGGCGCGCAGTTTTAGAATCCGAGCTGTTCCGGCCCTAGCTTCGCGTGAGCTGACTATTCAGACCATTCTAAACGAAAACACTGCCATCCCAAGCCCGGGCAGGCTTTTCCACTGTCAAAATCACTCGGCGGTGCTTTCTCTAAAGAAGGACAACAAACAAGCAGTCATTTAATAAAGCAGACGGGGTCTGAGTCACGGGCAGCAGCCTGCTAGCCTTTGGATACTCCCCTCGATGGTTCTGTGACCCTGTGACGGAAGTTTCAAGGGGCAAATGCTGGGGTTGGGGTGGGGTGGGGGTGGGGGGGTATGAAAATGTCAGTAAGATGAGAAAATGGAGGATTTGCAAGTCATAAAAGCAAAGCAAAGCGGCCGCAAAGCAGAACTTTGCAGCAAGGTTTTGTCTGTTTTGGCTTTTGTTGTTTTGGTTGAGAATTCTTTCTGGTTAGATACAGTCTTTTTTTTAAAACAAGTCACTTTTAGCTAACAAGATTAAGGTTTAGGCTATCTGCTGTGATACACCTATTTATCAAAAAAGAAGAGCATACTAATGTAGAAGGATTTCCAATATACATTAGTAAATAAATGTATGCATGCATATACAGTATATGTGTGCACATTATATAGTGTGAGAAAATTATCTGTACTTTGTTGTATGTTATATTTGATACTTTATGTTTGCATTTATTTTATTACATTTAAATATATATACTTATAATCAGTGTCTATGTGCAGACATGGGACCACCTCTGCATGGGTACTGCCTTTTGGGAGGGGATGGTTGTAGATGCGTAGAGTTCTCCTTTTACAAAACTCCAGTCTCAATTTTGTTTTTAAACAATATCAATTAATTGTTGGCTTAAAAAAATGATGAAATGGAGTGATAAACATTACAGCTGTTCCCTCTACTACCACCAAATGAAGACTGGGTGCTGATGAGGGGCATCATGTGTTAGTTGCTGCTGCCGTACATATAAATGTACTTGTGGCCATTACCTCACCTTGTCATCATGACTGTTAAATGTTTCCCAAAGAAAGCTGCTAGGGAGTTTTTGCCTCTGCCTACACTCTGCTCTAACAGGGCATTGACAGTCAGGGAAATGACTTGGAAATGTGATATAGGGAGGAACAGGAAAAGAAACAAAGACTGGATTTAATCAGCCTTAACAAAGGACACCTGACTACACTCATTTACTTTCTGAGTTGGGGCACTTCCTTTGTGTCTGAGGACCACTTCAGGACTTGTTCAGTCTCTACTCATTAATAGTCTCAGAGCTCTGAGTTCAAAAGCAGAGAACTCTGGAGACTGGGCAAGGCAAAAATTCACCAGACCTTTTGAGTCTGGCTGAACCATCCAAAACAGTTCTGCAGAGTCTGCTCTGACAGTTCCAGCAGCCAGTGGTAGCTAAATTCTCTGAGATGTTCTATCAAAGAGCTCTCAACCCTGCTGCTCTGGAGCTCAGTCCTGAAAACCTACCTGTGCCCAGGTGCCCAGAGATGGATCCCAAAGAGCCCAGAATCCTGCGATCTTGCTGATACCCAGAATGCACAGAGAAGGAGCCTAAAGAGTCCAGCAGGGGACCATGCTGCCCAAAGACAGAATATGGACATCTCTGTGACAGGTTCCTCCTGTACAAACCAAACCAAACAAAGCAACGAGCTCCTTTCTCTGCTCTCCCGTTATTAACAAAACTTCTCTCCGCTTCGTAGCAGTTTTCTTCACTACCTCAGCACTCTTGGCTCTTCACACAAGAGGATCCTTTGAGACTTAGACTAGGCTGAGCTCTGTAGGGAACTCAGCCGCCATGTTAGCCTGGCTCCTGTGCACTAAGTGCCAGTAGCAGTTAATGACAACCCAACAGTGTCTCAAAACAAGGCCAAAAGTTCCCTGGGGAGGGAGCCAGATCATCCCCAGCTAAGAAGTATTAATTTAAGGCTAAAATCCAAAACTTATGATAAATAGGATAACTTTTTTTCCTGTTGTTTGAAAAGTGGTAATGTATAAATAATATATTAAAATTTTAATACACACACACACACACACACACACACACACACACACATGGGGGGGTTCGAGACAGGGGTTCTCTGTGTAGCCCTGGCTATCCTAGAACTCACTCTGTAGAACCAGGCTGGCCTCGAACTCAGAGATCCTCCTGCCTCTGCCTCCCGCATGCTGAGATTAAAAGATGTGCCACTAGTGCCCAGCTGGCACACGTCTTTAACCCCGGCACTCAGGAGGCAGAGGCAGGCAGATCTCTGAGTTCAAGGCCAGCCTGGTTCTACAGAGTGAGTTCCAGGGCAGCCAGGACTACACAGTGAAACCCTGTCTCAAAAACAAATAAACAAACCTATGAAGAGAGAGAAGAGGTGGCCCAGAACGCAGTGATGCTGCGAGTCTGAGAGATGGTCAGGTTGAGGCGACATGAGGATGTCGTTCCAGGTATGTTCCCTTACCCCTTTGCCCTGCTGATCTGCACAAATCTGCCCTTCGAGACTCTGTCTCATGGGCTGCATCCTCAGGTAGCATCAACATGCGTGTTCAGACCCTCCCCTCCAGCCGATCGGCAGAACGGGACCTGGGGTTACGGGAAAGGAATAAAACTGAGTACTCCCCCAGTCCTTGGCCACTTGGCCTTATCATGGTGAGCTGGCTGATTGCTTCCCTCCTCCACAGACGGTTGCTGTGGGATGTACTGCTAGGCTCTCTCCTACATGAAAGTGTGGCATCCTGTCCCTGACCCTTCAAACCTACATATGTAATGGTTCCTGGCCGCTGTTGCTCTAGGATACTGTACTGTCCTTCACAAATATCCCAACTCCATCCATAGTCCATCCCCTTCCTGTTTTTCTGCTTTATTGATTTAAAAAATTACTTTTTTTTTTCAATGCTGGGTGTTGTCCTAGAACTTATGCATGCTAAGCAAATGCTCCATCACTGAGCTGTATTCCCAGCACTTGGTTTTTTTGGGATGGGATCTCTTGCATTATAGCCCAGGCTGGCCTTGAACTTGTGATTCTCCTACTTCTGTCTCTTGAGTGCTGTGATTACAAGCATGAGTGATCACCATGCCATGCCCTGTCCACACTTCTGTACTTCATCCCTTGTTAAAAAGCTCTGCTGATTTCTCTTCAAGGTTGCCCTCTATTTCCTCCATGAGTCTGATACAGATGATGTAGGGAAACATTTAGGAGAAAGAAAGTCTGTGGTGGGATTTAGGGATTCTTGGGACCTTTGACCAAACACTAAGCAGGTTGATGTGCCCTGAACCAGAGCAGGACTTTTCTTCTGAACCAAACCAACCTAGGCTCTGTTCTCCCACATTGGCTACTTATAGTAACTGACAGCACATGTTCCCAAACCAAGAGAGGAGAAGGTTGTCCCAGTCATGTCTTCCCCTCTCAAAAAGAGTCATGGCCAGGGATTCCAGAGAGCCACAAGAGAGAAAAGAGAGCCTCGGAGAGCAAGGTGTGCCCTTTATATCACTTGGGCCACAAGAATGAATAGCACCTGTCCTCAGGAAGTGTCCTACCTGAAAAACCAGGGGAACATGTTTTCCAAGTTAGCTCCAAAATTATTTTTAGGCACAGAAATGTCTCCATCTCCATGCTGACATACTCAGGATGAAAGGTAAAAATGTCTGGTAGGTGGAAAAAGAGAGGACCCACTCTGTCAGTCCCTGGGTCATCTGGGTTAGGCAAGGCAAGACCTACCTAGGACCCGGGACATAGGAATTAGGAAGGCAGGTGCAATAGAGATGGACTCAACCAGGCAGCTCAGCATCCGCAGCAGTGCCTCTGTTCTGGGTCAGGACAACAGCCCTGATTGTCCCTCCCCCACAGTAGCTGTGCTGATCCCAGAGAAGAGAAAGCCAGGAGGCCTCCTGGACGGAGCCTCTGAATGAAGAATGCTGCTCTTTCTCTGCAGCGCCGGAGGAGCCCAGCATCAGCGAATCAACTGCTCCAAAGCTGGCAGCTCCCTCAGAGGCCTGGGCAGCCTCCCCTGTGGTCACATGGTCCAAGACACTCTGTTCTTTGTGACAGGCACTTGGCCAGGTGGGCAACCAAGGTCCTTCAGGTGCCCTGGCTCTGGAGAAAGTGATGAAATACTAGTTCTCATTTGTGCTCCCAGCATCTGTGTCTCCCCTGGCCTCAGGGCCACCCCATGACCCCAGGCTTGACTGCTATTCACAGTAGAAACAAAGACCATAGCCAATTCAGGGCACAGGGGACTCAAAAAACACCTCCAGGGTTTTGCCTCCTGTGGCTAACGTCAGAGATGTTTTATAAAAACAAGACTGGAGGTCACATTGCCTCTTGGATAAAAGGAATTTTACTTCAAAGAAATTTACATGGTAAACAAAACTAGGGAAATTACCAGGACATCACCCGGCAGAGGACGAGCCACACCATAAGGCTGCCCAGGGTTTTCCTGAACTGCCAGTCACATCGTTTACACTACTAGGAATCCAGAGACCTGGCCACCGAGTCTACGGTTGCCCCTCTGAAAGAAGATGGTGGCTGAGTAAATCTGGAGCCAGGCTGCAGATTGGATTCCCAGCTCCACTCCTCACCTGCTGTGTGACACTGGACAAGTCATATCATCTCCGGGCCTCCGTTTCGTCAGCTGAGAAATGGATGTAGCTTGGTTGCCATTTCAGAGAGTTGTCAAGCAGGCCAAATAAGGGGCCATGGGTGGGGGCAGGGGAGGCATTTAGAGCACATAATGCCCTCAATAGCACCACCAGCACTTACGGTCTTTAGTATTGTTTTTAACCTTCACAGAAGGTCATTCCAGTGAGTCCTGTCCCATCACCCATTTGGTCCTAATGAAAGGAGGTTGACAAATAGGTTTTCACAGAGCAGAAATGGGTGCTTTTCTGAAGCAATTGAAATACCCAGCCCTTTCCTTCTCAGCTAGCAGTCTCCCCAGCTGGAGAGTTAGGGCTGGGGGTCTTGCAGAATTGAGCAGGGCACCATTTCTCCCCAGCTGGAGAGTAGAGTGATAGAAAGGCTCCATATAAGCCATGGGCAAGCTTCTGTGCAGACGCTGGTCCATCTAAGGTATCTCACCACCCACCACATTTTCCATCAAGTACTTAAACCATCTCTCCCTGCCACCTCCCCCGAGTCC